GCTAACACACATTGTGTTAGTGAACCACGTAAATCGTGTATCGTGTTTTTCGATTCTCGCTTTCGTATTCTTGCTTTGTCGATTCCGACGATTTCCCGATCCGTAGCAGCGCGTTTATAACAAGTGGTATCAGAGCCGCGACTGGAAATCAGGCTAGGGTTTTCGATTCAGAAGAATGACGTCGGTGAACATGAAGATCGAAAAGTTCACGGGGAAGAACAGCTTCGCTATATGGCAGATCAAGATGCAGGCTTTATTAAAACAGCAAGGGCTGTGGGGGCCGCTGTCTTCGAAACAGAAGAAGGCAGCGGTCGATGACGATGAGTGGAATACCCTGGAGGAGAAGGCCCACTCGACCATCATGCTATCATTGTCTGATGACGTCATCATTGAAGTCGCTGCTGAGAAGACTGTCGCGGGCTTGTGGTTGAAACTAGAGAGTCTGTACATGACTAAGTCTCTAACCAACAAGCTGCATCTCAAGCAACGGGTGTTCAGCTTGAGGATGCAAGAAGGTACGCCTTTGAGGGAACATCTCGAACAGCTTAACTCTATTTTGCTGGATCTGCGTAATATAGATGTTCAAGCTGATGACGAGGATGCTGCCCTAATCCTGCTGGTTTCTTTGCCGAGTTCATATGAGAATTTCGTTGATTCTTTTATTGCTGGTAAAGAAAGCGTGTCGTTGGAGGATGTCAGGTCTGCTCTTCATACGAGAGAGATCAGACATAAGGCGTCCGGATCTGGTACAGTTGGTGAGGCATCGGGTTTGGCTGTTACAGGTGGAAAGGCAAAGAAGAAATCTGGTAAAGGGAATTCGAGTAAGAATTCCAAGGGTCCCGGTCCACAGCCAGGTGATGCTTGTCACAACTGTAAGGAAGTGGGGCATTGTAAGTACAATTGTCCCAAGAGAAGAGGGCAACAGAAGAAACAAGGTTCAGTTGCCGTGGCAGAAGTGGACAACAGTTCTGAAGACGATCTCGCCTTGGCTGTAGATGAGAAGGCACATCGTGGTGATGTGTGGTTTCTGGATACTGCAGCCTCATACCATATGTCTCCGAACAGGGATTGCTTCACAACCTACGAGCAGATAGATGGTGGTAACGTGGTCATGGCTAATGGAGCTGTCTGCAAGGTTGTTGGAATCGGGTCCATAAAGGTTCGGACACATGATGGTTCATTCTGTACCGTGAATGATGTCAGGCATGTTCCACGAATGACAAAGAACCTGATCTCCTTGAGTCTACTCGACAGCAAGGGTTTCAGCTTCAAAGGAAAAGGTGGAGTTGTGTATGTCTGCAAGGGTTCGAGGAAGGTACTGAAGGGTGTGAAGCGTGGGACCTTGTATGCATTACAAGGGTCTGTGTTGTCTGGTTCTGCTGCAGTTGCATCGTCTCAGGTTCAACAGGAAGATATGACCACTCTCTGGCACATGAGACTGGGGCATATGAGTGAACGGAAGATGCAAGTTCTATCGAAGAGGGATCTTCTTTGCGGGCACAAGGTGCAGAATTTGGAATTCTGTGAGCATTGTGTGTTTGGGAAGCTACATCGCAGCAAGTTTCCCAAGAAGGGTATCCACCGGACGAAGGGGATACTAGATTACCTCCACTCTGACTGTTGGGGTCCTTCACGAGTTGAATCCATTGGAGGCAGCAGGTATTTTCTGTCTATTATTGATGATTATTCGAGATTTACTTGGATTTTCATGATGAAGCAGAAAAGTGAGGCTTTCACGAAGTTCAAGCAGTGGAAGACATTGGCGGAGAATCAGACCGGTAAGAAGATCAAGAAGCTGCGAACGGACAATGGTCTAGAGTTCTGCAGTTCTGAGTTCAACGAATTCTGCAAGGATGAAGGGATTGCCCGTCATCGGACTGTTAGAGATACACCCCAACAGAATGGCATTGCAGAAAGGATGAACCAGACATTGTTGGAGAGAGCACGGTGCATGCTCTCTAATGCTGGACTAGAGAGAAGATTCTGGGCAGAAGCAGTAAACATGGCGTGCTTCCTGATCAACCGTGGACCACACACAGGTATCGAGTGTAAGACTCCTTATGAAGTGTGGTATGGTAAGCCTGCTGATTACTCTTCACTGAAAGTTTTTGGGTGTCCTGTTTATTATCATGTGGATGAGGGTAAACTGAACCCAAGGGCAAAGAAGGGTGTATTTGTGGGTTACGGAGATGGAGTTAAGGGATTTCGAGTCTAGTCACCTTCTGAGCATCGAGTTATACTTAGTAGAAATGTGATATTTGATGAGAAGTCTATGTTTAACCCCATGTTGAAGGTTACTGTTGCTTAAGGTAGCAGGAATGTTTATAAGCAGGTGGAGCTGCAAACTCTCAATGAGAGTGAGTTTGAGCACCAAGGTGGAGAAGATCAACATGATGAGGATGTCTCTGCAAAGCCAGAAACTTCAGAGTCCAGTGCACGAGCTCAACAGTCTATTGCTTCCGGTAGACCGAAGAGAGCGACTGCAGGAGTACCTCCACAGAGGTATGGCTTCGAGGACATAGTGGCGTATTCATTTCAGGTTGCTGAGGAAGTGGATGCAGGAGAGCCACAGTCCTATAGAGAAGCAGTTTCGGGTGGTGAAGCTGATCAGTGGCTTGCCGCAATGGGAGATGAGATGGAATCCCATGACAGGAATCAGACTTGGGAGCTAGTCAAACGACCACATGGAAGGAAGATTGTTACAAACAAGTGGATCTACAAGAAGAAGGATGGAATCACTTCTAAAGAGGGCATGAAATTTAAAGTTTGGGTGGTTGCACGAGGCTTCTCGCAGAGGGAAGGAGTTGACTACAATGAGATTTTCTCACCAGTGGTCAGACATACTTCGATCAGAGTGCTACTAGCAGTAGTGGCACATTATGACTTGGAGCTCGAGCAGCTAGACGTGAAGACAGCTTTCCTACATGGAGAGTTGGAGGAAGAAATTTACATGACTCAGCCAGAAGGATTCGAGGTTCCGGGAAAAGAAGACTATGTTTGTAAGTTGAAGAGTCCTTGTATGGACTTAAGCAATCTCCGAGGCAGTGGTACAAGAGATTTGACAGTTACATGCTTGAGCTGGGCTACAACAGAAGTCCATATGATTGTTGTGTATATCACAGCAAGGCAGAGGATGGTTCGATGATATATCTAGTTCTGTATGTGGATGATATGCTCATAGCTGCGAGGTCAAAGTCTGATATCCAGAAGTTAAAGGGGCTTCTCAGTGCTGAGTTTGAGATGAAGGATTTGGGAGCTGCTCAGAAGATCTTGGGTATGGAGATTTACAGGGACAGGTCGAAGAAGAAGCTTTTCTTGTCACAGAAGAGCTACATCCAGAAGATACTGTCGAGGTTTGGCATGTCTTCAGCAAAGCCCTTAAATACTCCTAGTGCTTCAAATGTTCATCTATCCTCAGCTTATGCACCGCAGTCAGAGGCTGAGAAGGAGTACATGTCGAGAGTCTCATATGCTAGTGCAGTAGGTAGCTTGATGTACGCTATGGTATGCACTAGACCTTATCTTGCACATGTTGTTAGTGTTGTCAGCAGGTTTATGATACAACCTGGGAAGGAGCATTGGCAGGCTGTGAAGAGGATCTTCCGGTACCTTAAGGGTACACCTGATGTGGGGATTAGCTTCGGAAGTGATACAGAGTGCTTGGTGTCTGGGTATTCTGACTCGGACTATGCTGGAGATGTTGACACGAGGAGATCGATGACCGGTTATGTATTCACTCTTGGGAGTTCTGTAGTGAGCTGGAAGGCAACTTTGCAGTCGGCGGTGACATTGTCTACTACTGAGGCAGAGTATATGGCGTTGACAGAAGCTGCTAAGGAGGAAATATGGTTGAAGGGACTGGTTGGTGATCTGGGTCTACATCATGATCAGGCAGTGGTGTATTGCGACAGTTTGAGTGCAATATGGTTGGCCAAGGATCAAGTCCACCATGAGAGGACTAAGCACATCGATGTGAGGTATCATTTCTTGAGGACAGAGAAGAGGATTAAGGTGAAGAAGGTTGGCACCGCGGATAATCCTGCTGATATGTTCACGAAGCCGGTTCCACATGGCAAGTTCCAACACTGCTTGGACTTGCTGAATGTCTTGAGTGGGTGACTCCGCCCTACGGGGCATTGATGGCGGGAGAGAGAGAAGGAGCAGAGTACATCAGAGATTTCAGAGGAAGAGGATTCAAGTCAAGGTGGAGATTTGTTGATATGACTTGAATCGGATTATCAGCCGCTACGCACCGGTGGGGGTGCGGGGGCAACGCCCCCGGCCCACGGTGTATGGGCTCAATGTTATTTGGGTTCGGGTTCTGGGCCTGGTCTGTAACCGTTTCCTTTGTCAGATTGGATTAGGTTTAGACCCACATGGAGAAGTGCTATAAATACTTCTCATACTCCTCTGTAATCTGTAATCTCCTTGATATAGTGAAATCGGCTCTCTCTCGCCCGTGGACGTAGCTAACACACATCGTGTTAGTGAACCACGTAAATCGTGTGTCGTGTTTTTCGATTCTCGCTTTCGTATTCTTGCTTTGTCGATTCCGGCGATTTCCCGATCCGTAGCAGCGCGTTTATAACATGATTAGTGCACCATAAGTGATTAAAACCATATAAAGTAGCGACCGCTTTACGAACCCACGATTTATTGTGGATTGCTGAACCTAACTGCGATCAAAGTTTCCCACCTGATTGGTCTCGTTCCTCCCCATTGATTTTGTGGCATATCGCTTTCAAATTGAGCGATCAATGAAAAACACGAGTACATTAGAAAACTTATAAGAACTATTATATTTTGAGAATTTATGTAAGAACTAGTGTATTCTAAAGAAAAGAATTCGTGGATTTCCTTTACAATATAAAATAAACAAATAATGCCAAGAGATCTCCTGGTATGTCTTTCAGAAGCATGATTTCATAGGCAATCATAAGAACCAACAAGTGGTACCAACAAACGCTACTCCTACATTTGATACTCAAATACACCAAAGCCACCCCTTAAGAGCCCTTAACTCACATTGAACACCAAGCTAAGAAAACAAAGTAGGAAGGCATTACATCAATATTTCACTGGCAGGATAACCTGTCATGCCATAGACAAAGATAGTTAACATGTCTCCTGGTTCAAGGATCTACATTCCCATTTTAGAACATAGCTTAGAAGAGATCAGGACACAGTTCTGCTTCCTGAGTAGCAACAGACTGACACAGCTAATTAACATATCACAACATAAACACAAGCGCTAGCTTCTTCACCAGGTTCAGTTCCCACCGCGGAATATGTGGACTTGCAGCAGCAGCAGCTCACGGTCATCAATCAGCTCGAACACGCAGACATCTCCTTCTCTAACCGAGTTCTCCTCCACAAACCTCTTCCAATCAGCAAACTCAATCCTCCTGTACCTGAGTCCAGGACCATGGTGACCGATCTGAACATCCCACAGCTTCCCTCCATACCCGAGCTTGATCCATCCCATCGTGTCATCAACTCCACCCAAGAAGCTCTCAAAGAACTCTTGTGGAATGGGCTGTATAGGGGGAAAACAAAGAAAGCAAGGACAACATAAAAATAAGAAGTTAACTTGTTTCATTATAAAGCCAAACTCTGATAAGTTCAAAATAATGTAGCATTTGAGCCAGAGAGCCAATTTTGATTACCATCAGCTTGGCCCGGAAATAAGATGGAGTGACCTCATGTTTGAAGCAAGGGCTGTTGGAGTTTGACATGAACATGTCAACACCAACAGTACTCGCCGTCTTCAGGTTGCTGGTCTCCTTCTCCATTTGTGTCTCTCCGTCGAATACGATGACTGAGAACTCCAGCGAGTCATTCTGATCATCATCATCATAGCAGCTGCTCGTGTACTCAAACACCACGAAATCGCCATGGGCCAAGGAGTAGGACTCAGAAAACTCTTCCCACCCATTTTGGAACCAGAAACTCTCATTACTACCCTTCTTGGAAATGTCCATTTCCCATTTCTTTCCATATGTGTCCAAGAGGGTTGCTTTCCCCTCAAGAAACCCTCCATACTGTCTACTGAACCTCATAGGAAGCATCTGCATATGAAACCCACCGTTACGGAAACAATAGGTTAGCAAATAGCAAGTAAGTAAACGAAGCCTAATCATATTGTTTAACTACCAGTAATTAAAAAGTGTATGCGTGGTGAACTTACAAGCCTCTTGTCAGCAATGTTTTGTTCAAGTATGACCTTGAAGAACCTGACAACTCCATGGAAATCATCACTGTGCTCCTCCTCGCTTGAGAAACTCATCCTTTTCTCCTTTCTTTGGTTCTTCTTCCCTCCTCTTCTGCTTCTTTTTTTGAAACCTCTTTGGACTTGGAGAGCTAAGGTACAAGTATATAAAATGGCACAGCCATATTAGGAGACAAAGTTATGAGTAAATGAGGCTTGCCATTTCTGGTATCAGAATCTCGTGCTTTCTCTTTGTGTAGAGAGTGATAGCCATATTGGTGAAAAGGGTTTTAGATTAGCAGGGACATAAATTGATGGAGAGGGAGCAGTAGCATGAGCATAAATGATGCGACTTTAAATCTGTGAACTTGCTGTTGCCTTTCCGGAAACCATATTGCAGGGTTTTGCTTCCTTTATAATGGCTTGTCTGGTAGCATGTAAAGCTGCAGCCTTCTCTGATCAGTGCTGCATCAAAAGATTTGGGGATCAATACTTCAGAATTGTGGTGATATCAAATCAGAAATACAGTCCTGGCTCGGCGCTTACTCTGCAGTCTGCTGCCCTGCCTCCTACTTCGAAACAAGTGTGTAGAAGTCCGTTATGGATTCGGAGATGACCCTTAAAGCCCATAGATCGAAGGCTCATATCAGCCAGGTGGCGATGAATAATGGGCCTGGTGGGTTTACGCTAGGCCCAGGTCTAATTATCATAAATCTCTCTCTTTTCTGTTATTTCCTAGGTGATTAAAATGAAATAAATAAAATATGTAATGTCAATAGGGTGGCAAATGAGACAAGCTATTGCTCATGATCAGCTTGACGATTGAGTTAAACCTTGTTCATTTTATAAGATTTTTTAAGCCAATTTGATTTGGTGACTTGTTAACCTCATCTTGTGAGCTAACTCGTTTTGAGTTCTGAGTTGCCTCAACATTATGGCCAGTGAATCACCTCAAACTAGCAACTTATATCCAAATCGGTTAATAGCTTATCATTGGTTACATATGATGTTTAAAAATATGAGCACATGACCAAATATGAACAATTAAAATTTATGGACTAGATTATATGATACCTTAGCTCGAGTCAATCTCGAGTAGAACTTGTGAGCTAGTTAATGAGCCAAATTCGAGTGAAACACAACGAATGTTTTAGTAAATAAATTAAGGTTGATCTCGACTCATTTATTAACAAGCCGAATCTAAGTGGGATTAAAACTCGACTCGACTCATTTGCTGTCTTCAATCTGAATCTAAACCTACTACACCCGCCCACACCAGATCCTAATTTCCCCAAAACTCTGCCCACCTTATGGATAAGGGACAACACGTCATTCTGACACACTCCCCGAATCAAAAGAATAATAAAAATAAAACCACCCCCATTTCGTCGCCCGTCGTTTTCCCTTCCGCCAATCACCATCGTCCGATCGCCATTCGGACACATCTCAACGGCTGTGATTTCATCAGCAACATCCACAGAAAAGAAAGCCCCACCGTACACAGTCTTTCCCCCTCCCGTCCCGTCTCCCCTAACTGAATACCGACACGTGTCTCCCGACCCAGCTCTCTATTTCAGTGCTCCCCACCACTCTCACAAAATTCCCTTCCACCGCTGATCTCCGGTCGCTCTTCTTCTCTTCCCCTTCTCCGCCATTTCTCTCTCTCTTTAGAACCGTCTCTCGCATCATCCCATACTCTTCGATCGATTTTCCCTTTTCTAAACTCGTCGGGAAAAAGATCCCCCGATGAATGTTTTTCCGGCTGCCAGCGATGGCGCCGCCGCGGGATGAGCTAGAGCTGAGCTTTTCTGTCAGGTGGAGCGAATTTGATTGTAACGGTGTTCGTCGTAGAAGAAGGAGAGGGCAATGGTAGATCCATTCATTCTGGTTCGGGTTCGATCCAAGACTTGGTTCCACAAGCGGAAAAAATAGATTTGATCTTTTTTAGGCTAATCAAATTAGTAATTTTTTCTTTCGTACTGTTGTTCTTCGCGATCTCAATAGAGCTTTTTTGTTAGGGATTTTTGTATTGTATTGCTTGCTGAGTTGCTGCTGTTTCTCGTTCGCGCCCCTGTTTGTGGTTCCTTGGATTCCTGTACAGCCTTTTCCCCCCGGATTTACTGAGAGGGGTTTTGTGAATATTAGTGTTCTTTTTGGTAGAAGAGGCTTTTTTTTTCTTCTCTTTTTAGTTAGATTGAAAAACAAGGATTGGGAAACTGGGGAAGATGAGTTTAGGAGCGGCGGAGGAAGGATCGGAGAAGGAGATACACATCCCAGCTGAAATCAACTGGGAAATGCTCGACAAATCCAAGTTCTTCTTCCTAGGTGCCGCAATGTTCTCGGGAGTTTCAGCAGGGTTGTACCCTGTGGTTCTGATCAAGACCAGGCAACAAGTAGCTCAATCCGAGCTCTCTGCAATGAAGACGGGGTATTCCATCCTACGAAATGAAGGGTTTCGAGCTCTGTATCGAGGGGTGGGGACATCATTGATGGGGACAGTGCCAGCTAGAGCACTCTACATGGGTGCCCTTGAGGTAACCAAGAGCTATGTTGGGACTGCCACTGTTAGGTTAGGGTTTCCTGATGCAACAGCAGCAGCAATAGCAAATGCAGCTGCTGGGTTGAGTGCAGCTATGGCGGCACAGCTTGTGTGGACCCCTGTTGATGTTGTCAGCCAGAGGCTCATGTGCCAGGGTGGGAAGGAGTCCATGCGCAGATACACGAATGGGGTCGATGCGTTTCGGCAGATCATGAGGACGGATGGGGTTAGAGGGTTGTACAGAGGGTTCGGGCTATCCATCCTGATCTATGCGCCTTCCAATGCTGTGTGGTGGGCTTCTTACTCGGTTGCTCAGAGAACGATCTGGGATGGAGTTTGTTCATTCTTAAGCAAGAAGAACAATGGGAATGGAAATGGTGATGGGGCGTATAGACCTGATTCGAAGACTGTGATGGCAGTTCAGGGGATTAGTGCGGCTATGGCGGGTGGTGTATCAGCATTGATCACCATGCCACTCGACACAATCAAGACTAGGCTGCAGGTTCTGGAAAGTGGTGGAGAGGAGAAGCATGGGCCAACAGTGAGGCAGACGTTTAGGAACTTGGTTAAGGAAGGTGGCCTGATGGCTTGTTACAGAGGATTAGGGCCGAGATGGGCTTCGATGTCGATGTCAGCAACGACGATGATCACCACGTACGAGTGTCTCAAACGGCTGTCAGCAAAGAATCAAGAGGCCCTGTAATGTTAGGAAACAAGAATCCGAGTTTTTTTTTTTTTTTTTTGGTGCGCCCTCCTCTTTTATATGGTCTAAATCTGGTTGCAATTACAAGTTAAATCTGTAGTTTTTTTTCTCTGGTTTACCCTTTAATATCTCTGTCTGGAAATCCTGCCTTTTGCCTAGTTTGCTGATCAAAGTAACTGCCTTCAAGGATGTTCATTAGGTTATCTGAAGAGGAAAGCTATTCTAATCCAATTGCTTCCAGAATTCTGCTCCTTGTTAACACTCATGTTTGTAATAGTAGCTTGAGTTGTGGAAGTTAATGAACATGAAGGAATCTGGGAAAAGTTGTTTAATTGCGAGTTTTGAACCTTCTTGGATAGTGATGGGCACTTGTAATTGGTGCAAAGACAGACTTTTTAGGAGACCTTATGTCTACTTGTCTTCATTTGGGATGTGCTTTTCATAGTGGTAGGGCAGCAGGGCTGCTAATCTTAAAAGACTTTTTGGATGAATGTGAGATTTTATAATTAGAGTGTGATCCTCTACAATGTTTAATTTGCCCCACCATTTCTGCTTTGAGCCATCAGCATATGTTAGCAAGCCAGTTCAGATAGGCTGGTGATGCTGAGGGATGGCGCAGGTGCTTATTGGGTTAATCTATTTTGCCATCCTATTGATGATTTGACTATAAATAACTAGTTTGCAGTTTGCCCCACCAACACTCAGAATTGATTGAATTGAATACCCCACTGTTCTGCTATCAATAGGGCTGTCCATTTGGTTTTGGTTTTTTGGTTTTAACCAAAACCAAACCAATTGGAAAGCTAATGGTTTCTGTTTTTTGGTTTTATACCAATAAGCAACTTAATGGTTTTGGTTTGGTTAAAACCAAAAAACCAATAGAAACCATTAAGAAACCAATAAGAATAAAATTATTTATCAACCATTTTTTTTATTTTTTTGTTTCTTTTGACTAGGGCTGGCTATTTGGACCGAGACCGGATGAAAAACCGGAAACCGGACCGTATAACCCGGACCGAGACCGGACCGGGACCGGATAGTAAACAATCCAATCCAATCTTTGGGCTTAGATTTGAGGTAAAAAACCGGATAAAGACCGGATAAGAGAGCTCAACACCCAAAACTTAAGGGTAATTTGCATAAACGGTCACAAACCTTTGCACTTAGTACAAAACTTAACCAACTCCTCACCCTTTTAGGCCTTAGGCCACTCAAATTCCCACAATCTCAATATAAAATCAAGACCGAATTGGGACTGGACCGGGTCAAGACCGGACCGGATCAAGACCGGACTGTATCCAATCCAATCTTCGGTCCTTATATTTTCAAAAAAACCGGACTGGACCGGATCAATTCGGGCCAATTTAACCGGACCGGACCGTATAGCCACCCCTACTTTTGACACGCATGCCAACCAATAATTTGTAATGGTCATTTACCATTATTATGACGTTTATTCAATAAAAATGAGGGAAATATGAATAAATATGAGTGTATGAGTACATGTTGGTTTTTTGGTTAACCAAAACCATTAAGGCCCTTATTGGTTTTTGGCAACCAAAAACCAATAAGGGCCTTAATGGTTTTGGTTTTGGTTTTTGGGATTTGGTTTTTGGTTTTTGGTTTTTCATACTTAATGATTTGGTTAACCAAACCAAACCAAATTGACAGCCCTAGCTATCAACATGTTACCAACTGTCACTGGCACAAGGTTTGTTTGTTGTTCATGCCAACAGCATCAATCGCCTTTGTATTTTGCTCTGCAATAATTTGGTCTACATCGGATTAGATGGAATTGAAATATAATTTGACTCAGATTTTGATCTGCAAAATCTATAAAATAATAATTATTTCGGCAGGCGTTAACATGACTCCGGTATTCGCCAAAGCAACTCGCGAAACAAGTTCATCTGCGGTCTCTTCATCTAGTCCTTGATATTGAAGAAGATAAGAGTTCTCGGCTTACTTCTCTTCGCCTTCTAAGACGAAAGACCAGATCCCATATGTTTATTGGTCGGGCCAAGCAAGAAAGAAGGCACTGGTTTAGAGAAAAATCTAAGCAAGCACGCTGAATCTTGTTTTCTCCCCCTTCCCCTATCCCTTCAAACATCAAAATATATTTCGTTTCTATTCTTTTAGATTCATTTAAGATAAGAAAATAAATATGGTGATCTTGAATTAATATCAATTCGATGTAATCAATCAACCCCTAGTCACCAAGTTTAGGTCAAGTAGTTAATGCATTCCCCTTTCTATGGGATAAGAGATCCCTACATATTATTTACTTAAAGGTTTGTAGACTTTAATGTCAAGCGACAATCATTTGCTATTCATCAATGCACATTTATTTTCCTAGGAGCTCTCGTTCGATACTGGTAAGTAGTGATCCTTGGAACGAATCTCAATCACTCAATGAGTGGGGTTGGTGACAACTTCCAAGTTTCCCCATTCCTGCTTGCAATATGTGTGCTCAAGTGGCCCAAAAATGTCTCTGTAGGGCTACCTTCGGAGAGATTTTTCCAGAAATAGCACTCTTTAAAAAAAAAATTCCAAAAATAGCACCCAACTCCGAAAAATTCCAAAAATAGCACCCTTTTCGCAAAACCGCCACCTGTACCAGCGGTTTAGGCGAAAACCGCCACCCGGGGGCGCGTTTTTCGATGAAAACCGCACTGGTAGGGGGCGGTTTTGCAGACCGCACCCCCAGGGTGCGTTCTACCTTTTTTTTTTTTTTTTTGAAAAATCCTAACTTAGGTGGAAACTTCAAACGAACGTATCTTTATGTTCGGGTATCCGATCGTCGCGATTTTTTTTTTATTCCGCATAACTTTTTGAGATCTTGCAAGCCGAAGACTGCCAAAGGTGGTTTGTTCTCGCCTTCGTACCAAAAAATGTCGTTTGCTACCCCGAACGAGCTTTTTTCCGATTTCGTCAAACTTTGGACAACCGTAACTTTGTGCTCCAAATCCAAACGGCATGATTTTTTTTTTTTATTTCGCATAACTTTTTAAGGACTACAATTTTTACTAGAAATGAATTTTCAAAACAGGAATTATTTTTGGATATACAGGATTTTGGGAAATAGCTTATCTTCCCTTCTCAGCAATCCACGTACATTTTGAAATTATGTCTATGATAAAAGTTGTATTCCTTAAAAATTTATGCGAAATAAAAAAAAATTCATGCCGTTTGGATTTTGGAGCACAAAGTTATGGTTGTCCAAAGTTTGACGAAATCGGAAAAAAGTTCATTCGGGGTAGCAAACGACATTTTTTGGTACGAAGGCGAGACCAAACCACCTTTGCCAGTCTTCGGCTTGCAAGATCTCAAAAAGTTATGCGGAATCAAAAAAAAAATCGCGACGATCGGATACCCGAACATAAAGATACGTTCGTTTGAAGTTTCCACCTAAGTTAGGATTTTTCAAAAAAAAAAAGGCAGAACGCACCCTGGGGGTGCGGTCTCCAAAACCGCCCCCTACCAGTGCGGTTTTCATCGAAAAACGCGCCCCCGGGTGGCGGTTTTCATCGAAAAACGCGCCCCCGGGTGGCGGTTTTCATCGAAAAACGCACCTCCGGGTGGCGGTTTTACAAAAACGGTGCTATTTTTGGAATTTTTCGGAGTTGGGTGCTATTTTGGAATTTTTTTTTAAAAGTGCTATTTTTGGAAAAATCTCTACCTTCGGATGGTCCTACATTGTGTAAATTGCATTTTACAATGCTCATCTCCTGCTCGATTAATGTTAGGGTTTGTGATGTAGCATGTACCAACTAATTATACCGATACTATTTGTACGGAGAGATTAAATTAGTATTTGATTAACATATGTACTTCGGGTTTACTATGTTTTCATCAATCAGTTCATATGATACATTGAATTATTGGATTCGCTATTTTCGATTTCTGTGTGTGGTGTGCATACGTTGTGCCTTGCTATGGTCGTATGATCTCACACAGTAAGAAAATGGCCTGCGCAACTTGTGATTTACGTAAGTGAATATTTTAAAAAGTAATTGATAGAGATTTGAGGATTTTAAGAGAGAGTTAAGCAATTGATAGAGATTTGGGGAAGAATGTGTCGGGGCCTTGACAGGGAGAAGATATAGATTTCAGAGGATTTGGGGAGATTGGAGATTGTGATACTTTTCTTGATATTCTTCTAATGATTTTGATGTATATCAAAATATATTTATAGGAAAAGTCTCGTAAGCCTCTTTAATATGACTCTTTTTGCATACGACAATATCTTCTCTGTACATGGTACTAGTGAAGAAAGTAGGAAACTGAAGGAGATATTGACCATATATGAATAGGGCTGGTAGTCGGTCGGTATCCAGTAATATCGGATACCGATAACCCGGTATTCAGTATACAGGAAACAGACAGTGTACCCGCCGAATACAGATACCGAATGTTAACCGGTATTACCGAATAGTCGGTATCCGGTATTAAACCGGTATATCGAATATCGGGTAATACATGCTGGGGGCGGCGTAGCTCTTCGTCGGCGACTGCTAGTGGTGGTGACTGGTGAGCTTCGGCGAAAACTGCTGCTACTGGCTGCTGGACGGTGGTGGTGATGAGAAGAGGAAGAAGAAGGTCGGGGCTGGATGCTGGGAGCGGCGAATCAGAGGAGAAGAAAGGAGTTGGCTGCTGGGGAGGGAGGGAGGTCGATCGCAATTTTGTGGTTAGGGTTGCTGGGACGACGTCTGCTGCCCCAAATCCCAATTCCCAAATGGCCAAATCCATCCCCCCTGTGCGATGCACGCTGCATTTTTTTTTTAAAGATTCGGTATTATGGTATACCGTCGGTAATTACCGCTTATTATCCGATTTTACCGAATGGAGAATTGCACGCCCGAATACCTATATCGCCGGTATTCGGTATACCGATATCGCTTATATTCGGTATACCGGATACCGTCGGTATTCGGTACGATTTCCGGTATTACCAAATACCGGTTTACAGATTACCACCCCTACATATGAACGTGAATCAAGGCAGATGGTCAATATTCGAAAGTTAGAACTGTCATTTAGTACTAATTAAAAGGAAGATCGAAGGGAAGAGCTAGCTAACATTATGAATATGAAACATGTGTCATACCACGAAAAATACCTAGGTCTGCCAACTGTGATTGGAATAGTTAAGAAAGAGATATTTACCTACCTTGTAGATAGAGTAGGTAAGAAGGTTAAGTTATGTAGAAACAAACTTTTGTCAAGTGCAACAAAAGATGTACTCGTTAAAGTTGTGGCCCAATCACAAGTCTATGCTATATTTTTATGTTTATTATACATGAGGGAGTTCTGGATGAAATAAGAAGGATGATTACATGATTTTGGTGGGGCCAAAAGAAAGAAGAGAAAAGAATACACTGTGGACTAGTTGGCACTAGGGCTGGAGGTTCGGTTATCGGTTGCCGGTTAACCGGCCGGTTAAACCGACAATTAGCGATTACCGGTTAATCGATTAACTGGAAAAAACATTAACGGGCGGTGTTCGGTAGGAGGATTAGATGTCACGGAAGTTTGTTTAACGGGCGGTGTTCTCTACATTCCAATTCACTAGGAACAATCATGGAAGCTGAAGTTGGAGATTTTTCCAAAAATAGCACTGTTTAAAAAAAAATCCAAAAATGGCACCCAACTCCGAAAAATTCCAAAAATTGCACCCTTTTTGTAAAACCGCCACCCGGAGGTGCGTTTTTCAATGAAAACCGCACTGGTAGGGGGGCAGTTTTGCAGACCGCACCCCCAGGGTGCGTTCTGTTTTTTTTTTTTTTTTTGAAAAATCCTAACTTAGGTGGAAACTTCAAACGAACGTATCTTTATGTTCGGGTATCCGATCGTCGCGATTTTTTTTTGATTCCCATAACTTTTTGAGATCTTGCAAGCCGAAGACTGCCAAAGGTGGTTTGGTCCCGCCTTCGTCCCAAAAAATGTCGTTTTCTACCCCGAACGAACTTTTTTCCGATTTCGTCAAACTTTGGACAACCATAACTTTGTGCTCCAAAATCCAAACGGCATGAGATTTTTTTTTTATTTCGCATAAATTTTTAAGGAATACAACTTTTATCATAGACATAATTTCAAAATGTACGTGGATTGCTGAGAAGGGAAGATAAGCTATTCCCAAAATCCTGTATATCCAAAAATAATTCCTGTTTTGAAAATTCATTCCTAGTAAAAATTGTAGTCCTTAAAAAGTTATGCGAAATAAAAAAAAAATCATGCCGTTTGGATTTGGAGCACAAAGTTACGGTTGTCCAAAGTTTGACGAAATCGGAAAAAAGCTCGTTCGGGGTAGCAAACGACATTTTTTGGTACGAAGGCGAGAACAAACCACCTTTGGCAGTCTTCGGCTTGCAAGATCTCAAAAAGTTATGCGGAATAAAAAAAAAAATCGCGACGATCGGATACCCGAACATAAAGGTACGTTCGTTTGAAGTTTCCACCTAAATTAGGATTTTTTTTAAAAAAAAGGCAGAACGCACCCTGGGGGTGCGGTCTGCAAAACCGCTGGTACGGGTGGCGGTTTTGCAAAAAGGGTGCTATTTTTGGAATTTTTCGGAGTTGGGTGCTATTTTTGGAATTTTTTTTTAAACAATGCTATTTCTGGAAAAATCTCCTGAAGTTGCCACCTAAGGTGAAGATTTTTCTATGGAAATGGGGTCTCAACATCCTCTAACGGGAGCAAATATGGGAATTCGATTAAAGAATGGTTGTGACGGGTGCCCTTTTTTTTATTGTGCCTAGGAAGTAGAATATGGAGACTCACCCAACTAGCTTATTGTCTCGAGAAAGGAAAAGATAGAATGTGCGAAGAATGGCTTTGTAAAATCTTAGAAGTCTATGAGGACGATCGTCTCATGCAGTTTGTCATGCTACTATGGTTCATATGAAACGAAATGAATAATCACTTGTTCAATAAAAGCAAAATTAGAAGAATGGGAGATCTACACTAGATCATAGACGTGCCTGGAAGAGTTTGTTTCGAACCAGAAGAGCAATGCCCATCGAAAAATGAGCGTCACTCATATGTTTGGAAGCCACCACCGTCAGGTTTCCTGATCTACACCACGATGTTTAGGAGCTGGGACGGGCATGGGACTGGTTGTTCGAGATGAAAGGATGGTCTTTAGAGCGGCGACATTAAAGAGAGTCTGACACCAATGGCAACCGAAAATGGCAGAAGGCCACATGTTTCTCTTGGCTTTGCACTTTGCTCAAGAACATCGAATCCTACAAATGATTCTAGACACTAAACAGTGAAGAAACCTCCATCCTCGAAATTGGAGGGGTTTGTGACGAAATCTGAGGAGTGGCGGAGGAAATGGGTGAAGTTCAGTGGCGATTTTGAGGAAGAAATGAAAATAAAGCGGCTCACTCCCTCGCCCACATGCATTGTATCTGGGGTGTGGAGAAAAAATGGCTAGATAGACCAGTAGTTTTTCTTGTTCACCATTTGAGGTCTGAACAAACCTATAACTTTACCTTTCACTAGTAATACCTAATAAAAGTTACATGCATTTCTATAAATAGGAAAACCTAAACCTAACAAGTGACTTAACCACCAAGTAATTAAGGACTCCTAATACGAAACATCCCCTTGAACACCCTTGACAGTAGCCAAACATCGTAATCGAACAATTTCTGATAATAGCAGTAAATAGTAATAATGTGGAAAAGTTTTGTGTTCTAAGTTCTAACACATATGGATGGATATTATTTGATCATCATCAATCCTTAGATTCAACACTCTTACCTAAGATTATCGAGCCCAATCAATTTAGGAAATCTCAAATCCGAGACTAGTTTTTGAGTTTTTTACAAGGACAAAAACACGCAAAGATTATCTACAAATGCTAAAAACCCATTAGTAAACAAGACAAGCACAATCATTCTGCACACGAGATGCATATATGTTATAGTATTTGAGTTTCAAGAAGCATAATGGGACGAAGGAAACCAGTCCCAAATCTAGTTAAGGTAGGTAACCAATCCCTCCAGTGCTTTTCCTAATATTGCCATATCTACAGCTCAGGAGGGGCTCTTCCACCATTACTGGTAATGTTTAATGCCCGCTAGTTTATTATTGGGCCAATGAGATCTCATAGATACCCTTTTGGCTACTTTAACAGCCTAGGGTTTTGTTTGTTTAATCAGGTACAAGATTCTGCCACAGATTCAGTATCTTTTGGGAATTGGGAAGTCCAGTAATCAAACTTCTATATATTTTTTTTATATATCTACACGGTTGAGTTTGGGATTGAGGAGTGCCTTCAGGGACATTCGATAAAATTGGAACGATATAGAGAAGTTTGAGATTGGGGATAAGAATGATTAGGTGAGTTGTTGATGGTTTACTTTGAATCAAATGAAGTGAAATCCCCCCCCCCCCCCCCAACCCATCCAACATTTCGTGATTTTGACCCACCAACACCAACAGTCATTGAGGGTCTCAAATTAGCGTGATAATTCGAATGTTGGAAGGTAGAACTACCACTAAAACCTCTACAACGACAAAACTTGAACTTATATTACAGTATCACAGTCTCCTCAAACGGGTGTGGACAGTGCATGCCTCTCAAAGACTGTAACTTCTTAGCCGATTTCCTAACCCATAAAGGCTAATCTATACCCATTGATTCACAATTAGTTTCTCAGCCCAATTCGAACCTTATCTATTGATTTATACATAAAACTTTTGGGATTTCTGTTCACCAAAGTATTAACATTATAATTTGATGAGAGCGAACCCCATTAAATATTCCACCGGAGTCTAGATATCACTAATTGCAACATGTCGAAACTCAAATTTAACACGTTAAAAAGTTATACCAATAATGTAGTGATGATCTCCCGGAATTACAAGAACTAATATATGTTCTTCTATAGGGCATAGTGTCATTTTATATTCCATATCTTTTTTTGTTTTTGTTTTGGTGGAATGTCTATATAGAACCAAAACAACCGCTGACATTGAAGGGTACTAGGATTAGGGCACGAAATAAGCATTTTCTAGGACCCCATGGAATTCAGCAGGTGTGATTCTCTGCGAATAAGGGGAGGAAGAAGTGCATAAATAATAGTAATCTGCCAAAGAAGGAGAGGCTACAAGATCACAGGACTGGAATGATTGATCATTTCATTCCATAACCAAACACTCACATGTGTGTAGAACAGGGAAATGACAGAGAAATCGTACCTGCAAACAGAAGATTAGCCAAGAAAATAGCCACAGAAAGCCTATTGAAGGAGCGGAAACCCGGCTTTGGGTGGAAATTCTGTCATCTGCAAGCTGTAAGATTCCATAGACAAAGCCAAGAACAGCTACAGAAAGGATGAGGCAATGGGTAGGCAAAGATTCCCGAATTGGCCCAAATGAGGAGAGACTAATAAGTTCCAACGACGACGATTACACAGATTCTTTTCCTATTCAGACAGGAGAAGGCGGTATTTCAAAGGTCTCAAACCAAGGGCTTAATCAAACCTAATAGGACTGGGGACTGACTCAAACTCAAGGTTGTCTTTCTTCTACATGACTGACTAAACACCACAGGCTAACCCAAGTTACAACTAATATTACACCTGACGGAGGGAGACTAAGTTTTCGACAAGGGACAGTTAGAGATGAAGTTCAGCTGATGGGAGAGATTTCAAGCAGGGTGGAGGGAGGCGACGGATCACGAGCGAGCTCTTTTGTTGCTGCAAGAGGGGCACTTGTACTGCTTGATGTGCTCGGCCCTCGCTGGTGTGATCTTCACGCACTTGCCATGGAACCACTTCTCGCAGATGTCGCAGCAGATCCAGAACTCGTCGGCCGCGTAGTTATCTCCGCATGCTCCGCACAGCGTATCTCCATGCTCATCATCGTCTTCTTCATCGTCGTCCAAGCCTTCATCGTCATCCTTGGGCTGTGCAATTCTCGAGTACTTCACTTGGGAATCCCGCTGCTTGACAAAAACAAGTGTAGTAAAGAAAGAAGAATATGTATAAGAGAATGCTTTCCTATTTTACCATAGGCTAGATATCTCATTGGGAAACAGTTCTGGTCTACTACAATACCTAAGACTGCTTTCCTATTTCATTACTTCCAATTCAATAAGAAATATGTGCAGCAAACTAGCCATGATGAACAAACAAGAAAAATTATAAAGACAGAGGACCTTAACAAACATGTAAGTTCATATGCCTGCTTTTTCTAGCCAAATTAAGAGAATGTATAGTGAAAACTTCTTTTACCCCTTTGGAGTTTGACTTCGATTTGTTGCTGCTGTGGTTTGAGACAGATGACTTCTCCTTGGACTGTTTCTTGACTGATCCAGACACGATCTCAAATATTGTTGGGAATTCATTTATCATATTGAAGAGCCTCTTCCTGCAGTATTACAGAAGAATCAATATTGATGTCACATCCTCGAACTGCTCTAAGAAAGTTTTTAATGATTCCTTCAGCAGTTCAGCATCTTCTACGCATGATGGTATTTTGACAAAACTATTGTATCATGTCAAGAACTGAAATGTAAATGCACGTGAAACAAAAAAAAAGACGGAAACTAACGTATGAGCTACCACATAACACATGTACTGGTCTTGGCACAGACCACGATTCCCCAAAGAGCATGCCAACGACAGACTCGAGATATCAAACTTTGAGATTCACCATAGAGCATACCTGTCAGCTTTATCAAATCCAAATCTGGCTCCAAAATAGAATGCAACAGAAAGCAACCATGCATCGCTGTGCACGGCAACTAAAGATAGCCAGTCTTTTTCTTGCATGCCATCCCTTGCAAAGTTAATACCCAAGGCAGGTTCTGGAAGCTCAGGCGGCACTTCTTCAGCTGGCAAATTGACTTCCCATTGTTCACTTGGAAAACCATACAAACACAGGTTTTCCTTCTCTGAAAAGAAGAGAATACATTTCAGGCACCAAGATATAGCTACAACTACAAGAAAAGTAGAAGAAAAATATGCTAATTATAAAGTACAGACACAGAAGGTGAAGATGTGGATAATGCTGATGATAATGAATAGATGTGGACTCTAAGAGCAGAGAACAAACTGAATCAATGATTTTTTTTCCAGCTCGAATTAGTATCTATGGCAAACTGGCACGTAATATCTACCAGCAATATATTAGTCACTGCTGCAAACATAGATGACAAAAGAAAGGAAATCTACGCAAGATTGGGTTTTCATAAGTCCTATAATGCATTTTCTCCCCAGTGTTTTCTTGTGGTTCTTCACTTCCTATTACGTCATATAGACATCAACTGTACGACCTTTAGGCATGAAATTTATACAAAATCCAGAAAAGATAGCCTCTACAGATTTAGCGAACCACGTGTCGTGGTTCTAAAGATGAAAATATAGAATGTCAGCCTCTCAAGATTCTGGATTTATTTCTTTCCACTTCTCCTCTCAACTAAAGCCAATTGGACAACATTATTATCGGTAATACATTACATGACACGAGGCAGCATATAGCAGGGGGATCCCAGAACACAGCTAATAACCCAATTAACGAGAATTTAGAACATTCTTTTAACAAGATTCAAACAAAACTCTGTGCACAAATGATGTCAAAACCTTCAGAACAAAAAACAGAAATGCTAACAAGTGTCAACAGTTGGCATTGTAAGTTAGCTATGAAATTTATACAAAATCCAGAAAAGATAGCCTCTACAGATTTAGCGAACCACGTGTCGTGGTTCTAAAGATGAAAATATAGAATGTCAGCCTCTCAAGATCCTGGATTTATTTCTTTCCACTTCTCCTCTCAACTAAAGCCATTTGGACAACATGATTATCGGTAATACGTTACATGACACGAGGCAGCATATAGCAGGGAGATCCCAGAACACAGCTAATAACCCGATTAACGAGAATTTAGAACATTCTTTCAACAAGATTCAAACAAAACTCTGCACAAATGATGTAAAAACCATCGGTTCAAAAAACAGAAACGCTACCAAACAAGTGTCAACAGTCGGCATTGTAAGTTAGCTATGAACTTCATGAACCAAGAACAGTGGCAAAAGACGACCAACAAAGAATACACATTTTAGGTTGCTGCATCCTTTTAGGACCAACGAAATTATCAAGAATGCTAAGGTGATGGCTGCTGAAAATTGAACAATGCCCACTTATCCGCCAAATTGAAAATCCTCTCTTACCAGGATCGCACTGCCGATAGAAGTCTTCAACATCTGCAACACATCACAAGGGAAATACAGATGAAGTCACTAAACATGCAGGCAAAAGATACCAATAAAGTTCAAGTGAAACAGGCAAACTACAGCATACAACGCCCTCCATTCACATCTTTAGACAGAATTCTCTCGCCATGGAAGGAAATTGAGCAGACATTGAGAGAAACAAATCCATAAGTTTGCCGAAAATCCTCACAGCTCAAAAGAAGAACTTCCTCTCGCACAACCCAAACAGAAACACGGAATTCACAACGGGAGCTCAAAAGGGGAAAAAGAAAAACGCCGGAGCAACCTCACAACCCGCCAAGAAAGAGAGCAAGGCCAGGGTGAAAAAACTGCATCGCGAAAACCGAAAATAAACAAAAGGACAAAAACCAGGGGGAAAATCCGCCGCCGCAACCACCACCACCGGCGGCGGCGGGGTAGCTTTTGAGCCGGAGAAGACAACCTCACACACAGGAAACCGAATTCTTCTTCCGTTTCCTTTAATTAGTTGTTTCTTAATCTTCTTTTTGTGTGTGTGTGAAGCTTACCATTAGTGAGCGCTTTAATCAAACCAGCTCGCCGGCCTTTGAAATCTTTGAAGACTTCCTCCACCGTCCGCGGATTGTAGTTCGGTCCGGCTCCGACGCCGACTCCTCCTCCCGCCTCCATGCCTGCTCTCACTCTCTCTCTCTCTTCTGTATTCTCTCTGTAGACTGAGTGTGAGAGTTGTTTTTTGAAACGGAGAAAAGGGCAGGACTATTTGTTTGTTTATGCAAGTCAAGAACAAAAAACAATACTGGAAAAGGGGAAAATTAAATAAAAAGGTGGAAAGAGAAAAAGGAAACGGTTAGGGGCAAAAGGGGGAATTCGGAAAAGTTGGGGGATTCTTTTGGCGAATTAATTCATGGGGAATGATCTGTGACCGAACGGATTTGAATCTGGGTTTCCCGGTGCGGGTTAATTGGATTTGAAGGTCTCGGTTGGAGTCCGAATTATGAGGCAAAAAATGGGTTAAAGACACATTTGGTCACTGAGATTACAAAATCGGGACATGTTTAGTCACTGTAAAAATTTAATATCAAATTTGGTCCCTACAATTACTAAAACAGGACACACTTAGTCACTCGCCGTTAGTTGCCGTCCAACTCCGTTAAAAAACTCCGTTATGTGCTGACGTGGCTAACGTGAGCGCCTAGTCAGCGCCGTTTTGGGCCGGAAATGGCCAAACCCGACCCACCACATCACTATACCGCCACGTAATAAACCCAACCCGACCCAGAAACAAACCCTAACCCACCTAACCAGACCAAAGGCCACTTAAACAAATCAAAATTGATTTGTTTCCATTACAGACCCTTCTCCTTCCTCGAGCTCTCCCCGAGCTTTTCCCCTTCGCCATTTTCGATCAAACCCTGAGAGCAGAGAGCGGGGAGAGATGAAGTCGCGTTGAAGAAGAGAGAGGCTCAACTTCAGACTACCTTTTAACCAGAAAAGAGAGAGGCTCAACTTACATTTACAGTCGGGGAGTCGGGGCTAAGAGGGTAGCAACTAGCGCGATGGGGGAATAGATTTAGGGTTTCGTCCACTGCTGCGATTGAGGAAGCTGACGTTGGCGGGCGAAGAAGAAGAAGAAGAAGTACAACGTGAATCGAAGAGAATCTGAAGGTCTCGTTGTCTGCTGGCGAGGGAAACTGACTACGATGGCGGAAACGCGCGACTTCAATGCGACGGGGAAGAGCTCTCAGATTTCAACGCGACTTCAACGCTTCTTCAACGCGACTTCATCTCTCCCTGCTCTCTGCTCTCAGGGTTTGATCGAAAATGGCGAAGGGGAAAAGCTCGGGAAGAGCTCGAGGAAGGAGAAGGGTCTGTAATGGAAACAAATCAATTTTGATTTGTTTAAGTGGCCTCTGGTCTGGTTAGGTGGGTTAGGGTTTGTTTCTGGGTCGGGTTGGGTTAATGGATTGGGTTGGGTTTATTACGTGGCGGGTATAGTGACGTGGCGGGTCGGGTTTGGCCATTTCCGGCCCAAAACGGCGCTGATTAGGCGCTCATGTTAGCCACGTCAGCACATAACAGAGTTTTTTAACGGAGTTGGACGGCAACTAACGGCGAGTGACTAAGTGTGTCCTGTTTTAGTAATTGTAGTGACCAAATTTGATATTAAATTTTTACAGTGACTAAACATGTCCCGATTTTGTAATCTCAGTGACCAAATGTGTCTTTAACCCGGCAAAAAATCTCGCGACAAAACGTAAACAGAAAACGGCGGCGTTTCAGATGAAGCGGAGACGGATGCAGAATTGGGTTGAGGATGAGCTGTAGGCCCACGGGCCAACCTTACCAACAGGCTTAACATATTCTGAGATTATGGATGGTGAATTGGATTGTGGAGATGGGTTGGGGAACAAGAGGCATCTTTGGGCATAGTGGAGAGGAAGGGACTTGGATGTCAAATGGAGTAAATTGGATTTGGATGTTACGGTGATTAGTAATGTTTGGCGGTGATGCTGCTGGTTCCACAATGGAGGTTGAGATTATCTGGATTGTTCTCTTCCAGTGGCGGATCCAGGGGATGGCCAGCTCGGGCTACGGTCCAGCCCTTCTTTGGATCCGGAACTAATATATCCTTTATGAATTTTCGATTAGACATTTGGCTCAATGTTATTTTATAATAAGATTGTGTGTAATTAGAAAAATGGTTCAAATGAACATATTCAAATAATTACTCAAAATTTAGTCTAGAAATTCTAGCCCCAAAAACTTTCGTCTAAAAAAATCAATGAAAACTAAAAGTCTAAAGCGTAAAGGACTAGAAGAAATACAAGGTTTGTTCCCTTGAAAAATTACTAGAGCAGCTGCTGGATATAGGGATGGACACAATGCAAATTTATTAGTGGATTGATTTTCTCTAGTGTTGACGCTGCCGGTTTCAACGGCTAATACAGAGAGAACTTTTTCAAGAATGAAACATGTGAAAACTAATTTGCGCAACAAAATGAGCAATGAATTTCTTGTCGATTGCTTAGCTATTATATTTGAAAGAGTATGTTATTGGCATGGATGTAGATAATGGATGCATTCTCTAGGTAAAAAAGAACTACGATCATTTTTTTAACGGTATCTAATTTTCTAATGAATGCGGCCCAGTGCTCTACTGTGTTCTGGATCCGCCGCTGTTCTCTTCTGATGGTGGATGAATTTTGGATGGTAAAGAACAACCATTCATCGTGGATTCGTAGTAGATGTCGGTGGAAAGGGTTTGGCGGCGGCAGTAGATGACGGTGGAGGAGATCGAGACTGACGGAGCGAAGAAGCGCTTGGTGGGGGCAGAATATGTCGGGGAGGAAGAGAGGAAGGTTATATTTTTTTATTTTAAAATTATAATTTAAAAGCAACCTGACGTGGCAGTTTCCGTTGCAAAATATATGGCGGTAACGGGGCTGTTAGCCATATTTTGATCCTCTACAATAGTTTTGATTAATAATTTGCATTTCGATAGTTGTGGCTAATAATTTGAACACTTGAATAGTTGTGGCTTATATATTGTATTTATCTATCATTTATTTAAAGTTGGAGATTGCTATATTCTGCCTAGTTTTGCGGGTAGTTAATATGAACGGTAACAAATTTATGCACTCAGTATAAAAGGATAACAAAGTTTTAATTTTGCATGTTTTAATAAATCATGCTTGAGCGAATAACCAAACCGGTCATTCCATCCATCTTCATCCAAAAATTTGTTAATTTTGTCGAGTCAGCATGCCACATCACCATAATTATTAATTAAAAGTTTAGAACTTAACCAAACCATCCAATCAACCAGAACCAAACCTATCTTTGAATTATCATGTCGCCATCTACCAAGTGTTATTAAGATTGAATCGAACCGGCTGTTCGGAACGATAAAATTGGGACTCAATCGGCCGGTTCGCGAAAGCCGAAAATGTTAGCCGTTTGAGCAGCTCGAAGCGCTTGGCGGATTTTTACTTTCTGTTTAAAATGAACAAAAATCAAAATTGAAAAAAATTGAGCTATTTCTTCACGTTGACTGTTAAACAAATGAAGCAACGCGGCTCTCCTCTGTTCATTCAAGTGAGAGATTGAAAGATAAAAAGAGGAGAGTTGGAGTGAGACTGAGAATGAGAGAGGGAGAGTGGAGACGTGAGGGAGATTGAAGAAATTGTAGGGTGGGAGAGAGATAGATTAAGGAAGAAAGATTGAGAGAGGGAGAAAGGGGAGGGTTGGAGATTGAGGGGGTGGTAGGGGTCAATTAAGCTATAGTGTTCACATGGTAAGTTGTGAGTATGTACTTACAGGGTAGGATGGTTGTCCACGTCAGGCGAGCCACGGTCCGATGACAAGGGACGACCGGCGTCAGCACGTGAGGCGGGGAGATTATCTAATCGGCTCGGTTGACCCAAGTCTAATTGTCGTAAAAAAGGGCTCGCCAAATTTCAAAATAGACCTTTTTCCTTTTTCGTTTTCCTCTTTTCTCCCAATTTCTTTCTCGCATGCCATTTTCTCCAAAACTACAAGACCTTCCTCTTTCCCTCCACTCTTCTGAAACCCCCAGAAACCGTCGAGAAAATCGCTCTGGAACGAAGGAGACCAACGCTCCGGCGCAAAGGCGACTACTGCTCCACAAACACAGACGACAACGGGAGCGCTGAAGTTGTCGACGACTGTACCCCAAGGCAAAGGAAGTTGTTGACAACCGGGATAAGAATAAGACGCTAATAGCGAGAGGAGAAAGAAGAAAATGATGCTGCTAACGAGAGAGAGAAATCGATGAAGCCCACTAATGCAACGAGGAGGAAGTTATTGAGGTATGCAACATTATCTCTTTGTTGATTCATGGATTCGAAGTTAGAGTTACATGAATTCAAATCTGGGGGTTCTGGGTTTTGATTGTTGATTTGTTAGATTAGGATTCAGGGGATTCGAATTTGATGGTTCTAGGTTTTGTTTTTTGGATTCCTAGATTTAGGATTTCATGGATTCGAATATGAGGGTTTCAGGTTTTGGTTTTAGTAATGCTAGATTAGGCTTCCTAGGATTCGAATATGGGGGTTCTGGAATTTTTTTTTATTTCTAGATTTAGGGTTTCATGGATTTGAATATGGGGGTTTCGGGTTTTGGTTGTTGTAATGCTAGATTAGGGTTCATGGGATTCAAATTTGGGGGTTCTGGGTTTTGTTATTTTATTGCTAGATTTAGGATTTCATAGATTCGAATATGGGGTTTCTGGATTAACTAACTTCGGATACAATTAGTAATGAATGTCAATACTAGTTGGTTAAATTGGATGAATATGTATTCTGCGATGTAACGATTTCATTTATGCCACTTTAGATACTATCCTGTGAAGTATGGTAATGTGGATGTGTTGATACTAGTTGACTAGATTGGTTGAATGCTAGATATGTGATGTATGGATATTTGTCTTTGTTGTTAGGATATTAGTTCATGCTTATGTTGAATACGGGTTAGTTAAACTGGATGAATATGACACCTCACCATCATCAAACAAAAAAGTTAACGGAGAGTTGACGTTTGGTTGATTAATAGCATTTCAATAGGTTTAGCTAATAAAAAAGAATACGAAAAATGTTTGGCTAATAAATAATCATTACCTTATTTTTTAACCAAAAGGTCGAGATATATATTCCCGTCAATACCATACCATAGTGATAACGCTAGGTAGTACACAAGATTATACTATGGTGGTATGGATATATCATAGTATAGAATGATTGTATAAATCGTCATTTATCATCTTTTATCACCGTCTACCACCAATTACCACTCTAGACCAGGGTGGTACAAGGTGATATATTTGGTACTGAAAATTTCCTCGGAAAATTTATAGATCACGATGAACCTGTTTCTTCTATGCAAAATGTTTCAATATTTAGGTTAAAACGAAGGTGGTACAAAGTCGTACTGGAGTGGTAATGGGTGTTACAATTGTTTTTTTCTCAAAATATATCAGAATTCATATCATTTTGTAGATCACAACGAACTCGTTTGTTATGTGCAAAAATATTTAAAATTCAAGTTAGAACAAAGAATTATAAGCAGATTAAATAAACAGGGAAAATAAAATTCTTTTAGTCTCACCATTTAGACCTGACCCAATTAGAGCATCCACATTGGTCTTGCATTTCCAGTTGCAAGATGACATGTCATGGTTTTGCAATAACAAAAATCAATTGCATCAATGTGGCTATCTATTGCATATTTACAAACTTGCAACAAATGCAATTGCATATGAAAGTCAAAATAACCTACAAAATAGGAATTCTTTAATTTATTATTTCTTCTCCCTTTAAAATTTGCATAATTAAAATAAATATTTAATTACATATGCAGTACAAAAACATTGAGGTGGTAATAAAAATATAATATGCAATTGGTTTTGCGATTACGTTATTTGGACTCTTATCACCAGTATTAATTAGTTGTGAATAACCATGAATTATGTATCCTACTCAGTCGCGGAGGGTCAGGGAGGTAAGGAGGAGAGGTTCCTATGATCCCACTTGGCAAATAATTGGGCAACAAAAGCCTTTAAAATACATAGGTTTTAGTCGAGATAATTCTAGTTTAGTACCACATACTCTAAACGATGTTAGCTCACCAAGGACCCGGTTAACTCAAAATTCATTAGGTACACAAGCATTTATGTTAGTAAATGTTTAAGGACCCTAGTGGACTCGATGTCTGGTTACGCCCCTGATCCTACTCCATACACAACTGGTTTTATGAATAACAATGGATTATGCACCGTAATCTATACCCAATTTGTCAGTTGACATATAAATTTGCTTGTAGAGATTATCGGTTCATAGACAATTCAACACCCACAATTCCATTATTATTTTTGGAGTGATGATACTCTCCATAGCACAACAATGAAATTCGTACTTTTGAACAACAAATCGTCACATACTTCTAACCATCAAGGAAGGCAACTACTCAAGCGGTTTGGCCATCTTCAAACTTTTACCATATCTTTTACTAAACCACCCTACTTTAATACTCACATTACTTTTTTTTTGGTAGGAAGAGTGACGCAGTAGCGCCTATGTCATAGATGAAAAAGAACGTTCATGGGAAATTCCCATGATATCGTAGTACATCCACTGTTTGAGGGTGGGATCGCACACATCGAAAGAATGTGTGCCAAAATTAGAACAATGACCCCTATTTGCAAGGTAATCAGCGGCAAAGTTCGCCTCTCTATACACATGATTGACCCGCACCTCCCAATTGAGGTTCAAAAGATGTTTTACCGAACTAGCAAGCATGCCATGTCTATGCTCGTCGTCGCTGCAGTTCTTGATGATTGCCACTGCAGTGCTGGAGTCAAGGTTAAGATCCACCTTCCTATGGCCTTCCTTCCATGCCAGCTTAAGTCCCTCAATAGCTCCCTTCAACTCCGCAGAAGTGATTGAGCAGACGCCAAGATTGCATGTGAAGGCTCTGCTGCATCGTCCTTGGCTGTCCCGAATCAGACTGCCTGCAGCAGCTTTTCCAGAATGGGTGTGGACTGATCCATCTGTCTGGATTTGCATCCACCCCTCCTCAGGTGGTTTCCAGCCAATCTGCTTCGTAAAGGTAGTTTTCTCAGCCACCATACAAGTCTTTTGGGTCCAGTCCTGGGCTTGTCTCACAATATTAAACCAAGCTTGTATTCGGCAGGTGAGGTTCTGCTCCGAGAAGCATCGTCCCTCCATAATTTCTTCATTCCTCTGCTTCCATACGTGCCAACACACAATTCCAAAATCAATTCCGTTTTCCTCATCCTTGAGATTATCAAGCAGCCAGTTTTTGAAAGGGGAGGAGAGGTTGTTATCCACCATTTTCTCTCTAAGCTTCCTCCAAATGGCCTTCGCATTGCAGCAGCTTCTTAAAATATGTTCAATTTTTTTCCTCCACCTCCTTGCAATGCCTGCAGTCGCTACTGGTTGCTTCCTTCTCGCGGGCTCCTTGTTGGTCATCAAGCGGTCGTGGCACACGAGCCAAAGAAAATTTTTTTTTTTTTTTTGATGGTTAATCAAAATTGCATTGAAAGCCCAGGGAGATGCAACTCGCATCACCCTCTCAAAAGATCAACATTCTTTACACAGTAACCTATACTAATCTCTATGCCAACCAAAAGAAACCAAAACCCTTTCAGCTCATTACAACTGATGCCATTTTCTGTAATTCTATAGTACTACTAGCATATATCTCGAACTCCTGCATAACAGCAACTGAAAGTTGAGAAGGGTCTGAAAGAAAATGTTTTATCCTGCTCGGGCCCCTTCCATTTCCAGAGGGCTTTCCAACTCTGTTCAGCTTCCAATGTCTCAATATCGGCCGCCAGGGAGTATGTTGATCTCAGTCTTGAAACGTTCGTCTTGCTCCAAGCCCCAAATGGTTTTGTCTTCACCAAGCGTTGGGTTAGGTGGCTCCACCCCTGCAATGAGATCAAGAACATCATTAGGGACGAGACCTCTCAACCTGTTCCAATCCCACTCACCTTCTTCATTCGTCCAGTCTGAAACTGCTGACTCCATCTCCATAGGTGAAATGCTGGATTGCAAGTAGCTGTCAAGGGTGACACCTTGTTGCAGCCAAGGGTGCTGCCAGAAGCTAGTTGTAGCTCCATTCCTAATGCTGTAACAGGTACCCCATTTCATGAGTGGAAGAGCTTTGACAATTGCTTTTCCAAAGGCTCGAGTGGTTTCGTCTTCTTCATTGAGGTTGATAGCTCATCCCCTGTTCTTGGAATGTTTCCCCTGCACAACCTGCACCCACAAATCAGTTGGATTGTTGAGCAGCTGCCACGCAAGCTTGATCATGTAAGCCATGTTCAAGCTTCGAGCAGAACGAAGACCCAGGCCCCCTTGTTCTTTTGGTTTACATATAATGTCCCAAGAGATCAGGTGAGGTTTTCTCTTCCCCTCACACGACCCCCAAATGAAGCCCCTAATTTTCCTGTCAATTGCATCACACACAGAGGCAGGAAGGTTGGTGGTTTGCATTACATAGTTAGGGATAGCGTTGAGCACCGAGATAGCAAGCGTAACCCTCCCCGCAAAACGGGCACCCCGAGATATCTTCCAAGATCATTGGTGGCCTGAATTCCAAGCCTATCACAGATTTCATTTTTGCTATTGTTTCTAACATTTCTAGAGAAAAAGACTCTTGATTTTTCTTTGCTAATCAATTCCCCAGAAGCATCACAAAACCTTTCAAGGCAGGACACAACAACATCAGCATGCTTAACATTGGCTTCAGCAAACAAAACAAGATCGTCCGCAAAGAAAAGGTGAGAGAGGTCAGGGCCACTAGTAGAAAGTCTCACGGGAACCCAATTCTTGCTTTTAACTTCCCCTAGGATGCAATGACTAAGTCTTTCCATACATAAAGTGAAAAGGTAAGGGGAGAGAGGACATCCCTGTCTTAAACCTCGTGATGGCTTGAAGCTTTCCGTTTCACCGCCGTTCCAGAGAACTTGAAAGCTGGTAGACGTAACACAAGCCATAATGAGATTTATGCAATCTGCAGGTATGCTTGCTGCCACCAAAGTCTCTTCCAAGAACTTCCAGTTTATGCGGTCATACGCCTTGGCAAGATCGATTTTCAGGAGCATTTGACCTTTCTTCCCTGTTTTCCTTGCCATAGAGTGAACGGTTTCCTGTAAAATAATAATGTTATCAGTAATATGTCTTTTTGGAACAAAACTCAATTGGTTGGGATGGATAAGTTGTGGCATCAAGTTCTTAAACTTGTTAGATAAGCACTTGGCCACCACCTTATATCCCACATTGCTACCATCATATATATACCGTGAAGAAAAAAGTTGGAATTTGTTAAAAGAGAAGAGTCGAGAGGGGAAAAAAGAGGAACAAGATTAGGAAGGAAAGTTATTAGTATTGGATGTGGAGAGAGAAAGAGTTTGGACTCAAAACCCCAAACAACCAGCAGAGGAGGATTCCTCAACTCCCCAAGTCCCAACAAAGAACAAACCCACACTTCTGAACTCCTACAACAACAACAACAAGAATCCTTACACTCAGAGAAGGCAGAGGTTTTGGGTTTTCTGTGTTTCACATATACAACAACAAGAGACAAAGCTGGTAAGGGTTTTTATTATTACAGATTGGGTGGAGCAAGCAAAGCAAGGCAGACTATATAGCTAGGATGAGCAAGTGGCTGGGTTTCTCCCTCAACCCACACCTCCAAATCCAAGACTATCATCATGATGGCGGCGACTATGGTAATGATAATGATCACAACCATAGTCATCACCATCATCTGGAACTCCCACTTGCTGCCGCTTTCTCTTCTTCATCGCCATCTTCTTCTTCTTCGTCTGCGGATCACATGACCATGATGCACCACCATCACATGCTGCCGTCTCTCCACTCCGCCGCCGCCGCCGATCTTCCTCCCTTTTCCGGTATCCAAATCTCAAATTTCCTTTCAATCATATTCGCCTTACTACTTATGCCAGGAAGAAAAAGAAAAATAGTTTTTTTTGCAACCAAAAAATTGGTTACCAAAGCATTTTTTGTCACACATGTTTTGGTCACTAAAAAAGGTGTAATTTAGTTAAAAAATAGTCTTCTCTGCTGTATCAGGAGGAGGAGAAGGGATGGCCAGAAATCCTGATCAGGAAGCAGACGGCGAGAGTCCTAAGCTTGAAGATTTCTTTAGCACCACCGCTACAGGGAATACCACCACCGTCAACAAACATTCCACCGTCACACTCCCTCATCCACGCTGGTGGCAATAGCCAAATCATCTACCCGGCCACCGCTAATTACCATTTCGATGCCAGCGGCGGCGGTGGTTCTTCGCCGCCACCGTCAACTTCGCTGGCCGGGCTCAAGGCATGGCTGAGACAGCAGCAGCAGTTTAGCGACGATCTTCAGCAGCATACTAATCAGACTTTGTCTCTGACGATGAGCCCAATGATTAGCTCCCAGATTAGTCACAGTAATTACGGTATTAATGGTGATGTGAATGGGTTAATGATGGCGGCCGCTGGTCAGCAGCAGCAACAAAACAACAACAACAATCTATCCTTCACGGGAAGGGTAATAGTAACGGTGACGGTAAAAGTGGTAAGAGGGGTGGAGGTGGGAAGTATGTTGATAGTACTTTTGGGCAAAGGACTTCTCAGTTCCGAGGTGTCACCAGGTAATTAATTAACTAACTGTGTTTATAAACTAATCTGTTAATTTTGCATTTTGTTTGGTTATATATTATTGTTTAATTTTTTGTGTTTAATTTTTGGATTGGTGAAGGCATAGATGGACTGGGAGATATGAGGCGCATTTGTGGGACAACAGTTGCAGGAAGGAAGGTCAAACTAGGAAAGGAAGGCAAGGTACAATAATTTAAAGTGATTAACTAATTACTTGAGTTAATAAATCGTAACCGTTCGTGATACCGTATCGTACCGATCGTGTTGGCCGAACTGTTATCCAAAATTTGAGCCGGTTAGCTGATAGGTTCGATTTCAATATACCATTCGCGAGGACCCATTAGCGAATATGACATTTCATTTATGGAGCAATAGTAGTAATTGGAAGAGTACAATTAACTAACTAGTTAATTCAATAATCGTAACAGTCTGTGATACTAGCTATATATGGTACCGATCGATCACATTAAGTCCGATCGTGAACCCACTAGTTAATCAATTCGGTACGAATAGGATTCGACAAACTGAGTTAACATCTTTTTTTATTATTTATGATCATATATTTTTATTGATGTATCCTTTGTTCTTCCCGAAAGGAATATACTGATGACTTGTTGTGTTTCTTGTCATTGTGGTGGGGTTGCTTACTTTGAATCTCTCTTGCATCAAATCTGTCAACAGTTTATCTTGGTAAGTGAATCTAAATAAAGAGTGTTTTTCCCCCTATTTTAGTGGTATTATTCTTGTTAAATTAATGTTGATTATCATAATCATTATTAGGTGGTTATGACAAGGAAGAGAAGGCAGCAAGAGCCTATGACTTGGCTGCCTTAAAGTATTGGGGTCCTACTACTCATATTAATTTCCCAGTAAGTTTTTGTTTGAGACATTTCACTTCATTCATTAATTCATTAATTCCAAGAATGTTACCATTTTGCTCATTTGTGGCTTCACTTGATTTGAACTAGTTGAGCATTTATGAGAAGGAGCTAGAGGAGATGAAGCACATGACTAGGCAAGAATTTGTTGCTAATTTGAGAAGGTACATGTCATATACCCTTTTTTCCCACACTCAACCCTTTGGATGGAAGAAAAGCAAATCATGGTTAATAGGTTTGAATGTATTTCCAATGTTTCCAAGAATTCCAAGTACCTGAAAAGTGTATCATTATATTGCATGGAGTTCTGTTAGCATGTTGATAGGGCCAGTTGGGGTTAATGCGGATTGATACTATCGAATCAAGTAGTTTCGTAATGTCTGTCTCTCGATACTTACGGCGAGTTTGTTAGAAATAACCCTAACATGCATCAAACATCGAGATCGCGAGCAACGTAAAATCTGATGGTGTCGATCCATGCTAACCCGATCTCGTTAGCATGCTAGCTGGATTAGATCATATGTTGAGGAAGTACTTGTTTTGTTTTTACAGGAAAAGCAGTGGTTTCTCAAGAGGAGCGTCAATGTACAGAGGAGTGACAAGGTAATATGCACCCTATTTATAAACTAGACCAGCAAAAGAGAAGAAAAGAAAGCAACCTCTTTGGTGAATGATAAAAGCTGCAATCTTGCATGGTTTCCCACCTCCATTATTTAACCTTACCTCTGCAAAAAGAGTTCATTTCTTTTGTTGTCTCCTTTCTTCAGCAGGCTTTTTTTCCTTATCATCTATACACACAAAACCCTGTTATTATTAGTTATTCTTCTCCCATGTGATGTGCCTATCATGAAAAAACCATAGAACAAAAGCCAGCATAGGGTAAAACTTAAAAGACAACATTTTTACCCAGAGGGATGATGGTCAATTAGTCATCCAACAAATTGAAGGGCTGTTTGTACAAGTACAACATATTGATGTCTTTTTTTTTTTGCCTTCTCCTTTTATTTGCTAAAGATTTTTGTTCTTCACTTTTTGGTTTTGCCTCCCAACTGCAGGCACCATCAACATGGCCGATGGCAAGCTAGAATCGGAAGGGTTGCTGGGAACAAAGACTTGTACCTCGGCACATTTAGTAGGCCTTCTTTCTCTTATGTTGTCTTAATCAAAGCCGTCAAAATCAGGATTTTACGTAAAATCGAAAATGTGGGTAAAATCGAATTGTAAAATAGTAGGATTTTAAAGTGCATATAAAAATGAAGACGAAATAATAATAAGAAAGAAAATCACGACTAACACAAAAACACATAACATTTACAATGATAATTTCTCAAGGTTAATGTTCTAATTTCTCAAGGTTAATGTTAAGAGGTGGTGATTCGATGATGATCAATACTTTGATGTTAATTGATGATGGTCGATGGTAGTTAAAGTGAGAGAACTAGATGATGTTGGTGGATGAGAAGGAAAAGAGGCGTAATTTTGCAAATTCTGGAGGAAATAAGTAAAATTGACTCAAAGATTCGAATCGTAAAATCGTAAGATTTTAAATATTTTAAGTATTTAAATCGTGAATAGAGTAGAATTTTAAGGTTCATAGATTTTATAGTGAAATCAGAATCGGAATAGGTAAGTAAAATCGTAAGATTTTAGGATTTAAATCGGAATTTTAACTACTTTGGTCTTAATAATTTGTCTTCATTTTATATCCATTAGCTCCACAAAATTTTGCAACTACATAACTCAAGATGGTGAAAAATCTTTTGTCCATTGTGTTTTTAGGATACCCTTTTGTGAGTACTTTAATGGGTAAGAATCAGAATATCCTTTTCATTATCCAATAAAATTTCACTCATCTTGCACTTACAAGCTAGAATGTTCCAAAACAGTTGTTCCTTATACTTCTAGATCCCCTTCTGTTAGTGTTTGCAATGGTAATGAATCAAGATCTTATTCTCATGCACTATATATCAACATTCTGCTCAGTGTGACTTCTTTAATGGGTATGAATCAGGAACTTTTTTTTCCATTGTCTCTTAATATTCCACTCAATTTAGATTTCAAATATTTTGTCTTTTAATACTTCAAGTCAAGATACCGTTTTCTTTAATGGATCGAAATCTTACTTTCACTATGCAACAATAACATTCCCATCAATTCACACTTACAAATGTTCCCAAAATAATAACATTTGCTTAAACCTTAATGAAGAAACACATAATATATTTGTAATTACCTTACGTTTTCTAGATACCCTTTTGTGAGTGCTTCTATGGGCAATAATCAAGCTCCAACCTTTCATAGAGTTTCACAAACCTGATCTCTGTCGACCTTGTTAATAGGTACCCAAGAGGAAGCGGCCGAGGCATACGACATAGCGGCAATCAAATTCAGAGGGACGAGCGCCGTCACCAATTTCGACATAAGTAGGTACGACGTGAAGAGAATCTGCTCTAGCTCCACATTGATCGCCGGAGATCTTGCCAAACGTGCTTCTCCTCCTCCTCCGACCACCACCGGTCCACCGTTAATGGCGTTGGAGGACTACAACTCGAGGAGCTCGTCGGAGGAGTTGCAAGCCGCCGATGTGGCGGCATGGAATCATCACAACGGATCGAGTAGTAGTACATCATCTGGCCATCCTTGTCAGCAAAGTGACGTGGCAGCCGCCGCCGCTGAGCTGGCTGCTAATAATGGCGCGAGGTGCTTAGATTTGGCTGATCATGATCATCAGAACCGTAATCACCATCAAGCTCCAATGTTCACTTTGTGGAATCAGCAATGAAAGGTTTATAAGAACCTTTAGGTCAAATGGTAGTTAGGGCAAAGGAGGATATACGAGGATGATAGTGACGAATTGATTTGGAATCATGTTTTAGCTAGCTCTATATATGATGATATATAGTGTTTTTTATTTTTAAGATTATATTATCGATGCTTAGGGCTTCATTTTGGTACTGAATCATTGATGCTTTTTGAAGGCCGTTTATAATATATATATTGTTGTTATATTATATATAGTACGAGGGAATTGAATATGATATGTATTTTTGCTAGTGGTTTTCAGAGATTCTTGGCCTTTTTCTATCTGTCGTGTGGAATTGTTTTCAGAAAATAATACACGGAGAAGACAAGACAAAACAATGAACCAACCATATTGCATGCACAGCCCTTTACATCTCGTTCAGAATAATGGTGAGTGACCACCTTTGCATGGGCTACACGACGCTATTTTATATTTTGCTTTTTTAAATTGAAGATTTCACTGAATTTGCCACTACTTGACTGTGGTTTGAGTTTGCAATCCAGTTCGATTCGAACCGGATATCATTATAAGAAGAATTATTCTTTGGTAGTTACTCGCATGGTTGCAAGATCAAATTAATATTCACAAAGGGAGCCCTAGTAGTATTATGACTAGTGCTCTAGGCTAGATCATATAGGTAACTGTGAAAGGGAATACGTCAGGTAATGTAAAAGTCAAAAGAGCTATGGTCAAACCCGTTTGACTACTCTGTTAGATAAGAGACTATTCAATTGAATAAGGGTGTTGTTTGTTTGTCTGGTAAAAAATGGAGCAAGCAGTGCAGGCTGCCTTAAATATCGTGCCATTGCTTGCCCTTTTATTTCTTTTGTTTTAGTTATGCCTCTGTCTATTATTATCTCTCTCTGATGGGCTGATGGCATGCACAGTCATTCTTGTCTTATAGTTGGAGATAATTTATTAAGGCAAAATACGCTTTCAAAATCACAATTTTCACTTATAATAATAATTTTAAAGATATATTTTTTTTTGACAGTAGGACAAAACTTTTCATTGCTAGTGACAAAGTGCGAGTTACAGCAGGATTGAAATAATATCAAGAACATTGACCCAATCCGGGGGAAGTGGTTCCTAGCACAGGACCTGGCAACCCAATCGGCTTTGATGTTAAACTTCCTGCTGACAAAGGTAATACGGATCCCTGGATTCCAACCACACAGTTGTTTGATCA